GGTCCCTGTGCTTTGCTAAGCTTGTTCTAAGGAGGTGCTTTAGACCACTGAGCCATCTCACCAGCCCACCACCATGAGTTTGAGGCCAGCCTGGGCTCCACTATAGTGAGTTAAAGCCCAGTATGACACTGCCCCCTTAAAAAAAAATCACAATTGTTTTTTATTTGGTCTTTTTGACTCAGGCTGGCCTTGCGCTCACTTTGTAGCCCAGACTGATCTCCAACTCACAAGGATCCTCTTGCATCAGTCTCCTGAGTGTTAGAATTATAGGTGTGCACCATACCCAGCAAAAATCACAATGCTGAATATGCTTCTACAGGCCTTGGGGCTATTTACCTTGGGTATTTGTCTTTTCTAACCCTCTTCCATATCCCCAAGAAAACTACAATTTTTTTCTTCTTCCCAGTTAAGGTCTTGCTATGTAGTTCAGGCTGGCCTCAGACTCACTACTCAGCCTGCCTTGAGCTCATGAGTTCCAAGTACTAGTATTAAACATGTGAGCCGCCACATGCAGGTTTTTGTTTGTTTGTTTGTTTGTTTGTTTTAGGCCAGGTCTTGCTGTGCAGCCCAACCTGGCCTCGAGCTCATGATCCTCCTGCCTTAGCCTCCCTACTGCGGGATCAAGTGCACTATGTCTGGGTGTTGCCCCCTGATTCATATGAACTAGTCATACTTCTCCAAATCTCAGGCTACTTGGTGTCTTTCTTCAGAGGCCATGAAGGACAGGCTTGGGTTTCAGTGAGACTTCTGACGGCAGTTTGTGAAGGTGGTGAGAAAAAAGGGTGATTAGACCAAAGCTGGAGGCCAGTGAGGTGCTTGGCAATGATCCGACGGGAGACTGTGCCAGACCTGTGTGGAGACAAGCCAGGTGGGTCCACACCAGAGATGTCTAGAGATAAACCAGTAGAGGTTAGACATAAATAAGTATGTGTTCTTTCCTGGCTGCTCTTTCTAAAGCAGGCTCTTGGTCTAACCTTGTTTACTTCCTTCATGGTACTTCTGACAACCTGAAATTACGTTGTTTATATACTTGCCTATGATCCATTTTCATAAAGCAGAATCAAGTAAATTGAGTTCTATGACATTGATTTTTTTTTTTTTTTTTTTTTTTTTGAGGGGGAATATTGAGACAGGGTCTCACTATGTATCCCAGGCTGGCCTTGAACTCAAAGTGATCCTCCTACCTCAGCATTCCAAGTGCTGGGATTATAGGCTGCACCATTGTGACTGGCTACCTTGATCAGTTTTATTCCAGACAATGCCTAGCACTCACAAGGTAATCTCAACAGATCCCTGAAGCCTTGTTGGCTGGCACTGACCAGGGATCTAGGGTTTAAAGTGTCCCTAAGACTAACTGCCCAAGTGCCCATTCCTATCATTTGAGAATACCAAATTCCATTTTTCACTTGCTGGCTGCTGACTGAAGGCAGTGGATATTTCCAGAAGGAAGTGGGGGCCCCAAGCAGCAACCTGAAATCTGCCCCTCATGGGTGTAAAAGTAAGAGCCTGGTGCGGTGACCATATGCCTGTAATCCCAGCACTACAAAGTGAGCTCGAGGCCAGCCTGAACTGCATAGCGAGACCCTGTCTCAAAAAGAAGGAAAATAAAATAAAAACTCTATTGAAGAAAAAAAGAATGTCTACGTGGATAGGGGAAGATGTGGCCATCATATAAGCATCTTGAATACAAACACGGCTGTTTGATTCCAAAACCCGGTATGGCAGCTCCAGACCAAGCAAGCTGGCCTCCAGTGTGTTGTTCCTCAGTCCCTACTGGGTGCGGCCCACACAGAAAAAGGAGTATCACGGCCAACTCAGGAGAAAGTGAGAGATACCTCAGCCTCCCCACACAGAAACGCAGATCTCTCTGGTAGCTGGGGAGACGCCCCTAGACGCCTGACCCCTACTCCCACGCAAGATGGAGAATGAAAGGATCTTTAGCAGCGCGACAGGCAGTCAGTCACCAGAGTTCGAGGATTGGAGACTAGACCCTCGGGTTCCTCGGGCCAGTTCGCATCCGCGTGATGACTAGTGCCGTGGTGGCGCCTTTAAAACCCGAGCAGGAGGCGGGGCCTCGATGAATGGGGGTTGGAGGAGGTGCTTCGGATGACGTCAGCGTTCAGGGGCGTGGCTCCTCCTGACCCGGCGGGCGTTGCTCAAGAAGACTAGACGCTGAGAGGAGGCGTTCATTGATAAAAACGCCGGGCTCCCTCTGGCGCTAGAAGCGTGGCGAAGCCAGGCAGCGCCACGCGCGGCCGTGGCCGGGCGGAACCGAGAGGCAGCCGCGCTGCCCGCATGGAGCCCGCCGCCGGGTCGCCGTCTCCGCGCGCCTTCCCGCGTGCGGCCGCCCCACCTGCACCCCCAGCCGGACCCGGGCCGCCCGCGAGCGCCCCGCGCGCACCTGAGGAGGGGACGCTAGTCGGACCCCCGGCACCGGACCCCGGGCGCCTCATCACCGACCCGCGCAGCGGCCGTACCTACTTTAAAGGCCGCTTGCTGGGCAAGGTGGGCCAGCGTCTAAGGAGCAGGACTCGCGGGGTGGAGGGAGCCCTGCCGGGTTGGGCGGGGTCGCCGGACCCCACCGTGGGGTCCTCGGGAGCGCCTGGCTTGATGTTCCTGCTCTTAGGGTGGGTTTGCCCGCTGCTACGAGGCCACCGACACTGAGAGCGGCAGCCCCTACGCGGTCAAAGTCGTCCCACTGAGCCGAGTCTCCAAGCCGCATCAGCGCGAGAAGGTGGGTCCCGCACCGCGGACTGGGGACGGGCGGGGACAGTGGCGGGGAGGGCACCTGGAAGGATGACGACCCTGGGCTCCCACTGCAGATCCTCAACGAGATTGAGCTGCACCGAGACCTACAGCACCGCCATATCGTCCGTTTTTCACACCACTTTGAGGATGCTGACAACATATACATTTTCCTGGAGCTCTGCAGCCGAAAGGTGGGGAATGAATTCCAGCGGGGAAGGGGTAGGAAAGAAGGCGAGTCCCATCCTCCAAAGCTGGGGCCGTCTTTCTGGGCCAGGACAGATGGAGGGAGACTCAGAGAGGGTGAACAAGGGCTGAGGCAGTGGCTCTCCGCAGTCCCTGGCCCACATCTGGAAGGCCCGGCATACCCTGTTGGAACCAGAGGTACGCTACTACCTGCGGCAGATCCTTTCGGGCCTCAAGTACTTGCACCATCGGGGCATCTTGCACCGGGACCTCAAGCTAGGTGAGGATTCTGGGTCTGTAGGGTGGGGCCAGGAATAGAAGGAAAGAAGGAACCTGACACTTCTGCCTCTGTCCAGGGAATTTCTTCATCACGGAGAACATGGAACTGAAGGTGGGGGATTTTGGGCTCGCAGCTCGGTTAGAACCCCTGGAGCAGAGGAAGAAGTGAGTGTTTGAGGGAGGAGGTGGTCATGCACAATCTGTGTGACACAGATGATGTGTGTGGCAGACGGTGAGTGTGTATGTGGGAGGCAAGGTGACCTCCTGACTTGTGCATGTGATAAACAAGGAAGGGGTGACGGGCTGTTTGTAGACTATGGAGTTGGCAGCCGCAGTTGCTGGGACTGGTGGAGAGGGTGAAGGGCCTGTTAAATGTGTGACATTGGGGAGGGAATAACCCTGAGTTCCTGAGACAGACAGGGGAGTAAAGATTCTGGAGGTTTAAGACTGACCCTGTGGAGCTGGGTGTGGTGGTGCACCCCTGTAATTCCAGCACTCAGGAGGCTGAGGCAGGAGGATTGTGCAAGTTCTAGGCCAGTCTTGCCTACAAAGTGAGCTCAATGCCAGCTTGAACTGCACAGTGAAACCTTGTCTCAAAAAGACCAAAAGAAAAAACAAAACAAAACAAAACAGACACTGTGTGTCAGTAGGGTTACATATACATGTATGTGGGAAAGGCAGTACGTGATACCTTGTGGGTGTGTAAGACCCTGCTGTGGCCACTGTGACTGGGTATGTATGACACAGATAGGCATGTGTGGCCGATTAGTGTTTAGAGGGGATATGACAGCTGGTATTGGTGTGTGTATGGCACAGACTGGGAGGTGACAGCCTCATGGGTGTGTCTCACAGACGGGAGTGGGGGAAGGGGCCAGCCTTGGACCCTCTGTGACCCTTGAGGAGGGGCTAGCTTGGGGGTCAGCTTTCCCCTCCCCCCATCCTTCAGAGCAGCTGAGCAGCTGCGCCAGGCAGGTGGGTGGGGACTCAGCTCTCATGGCCAGCATCCATTGTCCCAGGACAAGCAGGAGCTCTCTGGCCTTTGGTGACAGGCAGCTGCTTTGTCTATAGAGTCACGGGGGGGGGGGGGGGGGGGGGGGGGGGGGGGGGGGGGGGGGGGGGGGGGGGGGGGGGGGGGGGGGGGGGGGGGGGGGGCAGGAATGGGAGGGCTGCCGGGCTGAGTCTGAGGCTGCCCCTCCCCTCTCCTTTCCACCCTCTTTCAGGACCATCTGTGGCACCCCTAACTATGTGGCTCCAGAAGTGCTGCTGAGACAGGGCCATGGCCCTGAGGCAGATGTGTGGTCGCTGGGCTGTGTCATGTGAGTGCCAGATTCAGTCACAGACAATTTGCAGGTGTGTGGAAGGGGCACTTCTGCCACATTACTACTGAGCCTCATGTCCTTGGCCCACAGGTACACGCTGCTCTGTGGGAGCCCCCCATTTGAGACAGCAGACCTGAAGGAAACCTACCGCTGCATCAAGCAGGTTCACTACACATTGCCTGCCAGCCTCTCACTGCCTGCCCGGCAGCTCCTGGCTGCCATCCTTCGAGCTTCACCCCGAGACCGCCCCTCTATTGACCAGATCCTGCGCCATGACTTCTTTACTAAGGTCTGTGGCTCCCAGATATCTGGGTTCTACCTGCATATTCCTAGGGGGTTAAGTGGGCAGGCGACAGGACCTCTGGGGTCTTTTCTCTATTGACATGGCTCCCCTCCCAGGGCTACACCCCCGACCGGCTCCCTATCAGCAGCTGTGTGACAGTCCCAGACCTGACACCCCCCAATCCGGCAAGGAGTCTGTTTGCCAAAGTTACTAAGAGTCTTTTTGGCAGGAAGAAACGCAAGAGTGAGTGGGGTGTCAGTGGGTTGGGGGTATAGAATGGTATAGCTGCTTGATACATGCATCTTGGGGATGCAAAAGTGTGGGTGCCTGTGAACTGTGAGAGCGTGTGTCATCCAGGCACTTGGGAAGTCCTGTCTTGGTGTCATCCTTGTGGGAAACAGGGCTGGCAGGACACTGAGGCCTGTATTTACCCACCCCCAGATAAGAGCCATCCTGAGGAGAGGGAGGAGGTCTCCTGTTTGGTGAGCAGCTTCATGCGCACATCCCTTGGCCAGCAGGGCGCCAGGCCGGAGGTGAGATGCTCACGTGGCCATTCTGCCCTGACTCATTCCTGCCCCAGCAGCTGAGGGAAGCCCAGGATAAAAGGCTGATGAAGCATCCAGCCTCACGGTGGCCTAATTGGCTGTGTCTCATTAGCCACCTGTGGCTGACCTGGGGTGCCCTGGGAAGCAGGGCAGGGCTGGGCCATGAACTTTCAAGGATTTAGATTCCAAGGCCTATCTCACTCTCTCTTCCTACCTAACCCTCCAGGTACCAGCAGCTTCTGGTCCAATCCCAGCGGGCCTGGTAGAGACAGTAGCTGAAGATAGCTCACCACGTGGGACACTGGCCAGCAGTGGAGAGGGTAAGGAGCCAGGGAGTCTGAGAGGTGCCAGAGGTTGCTGGTCCAGGGACCAGAGGGAAGGAAACGGTTGGCACAAGGAAGCCAGGTTATGTCCAGCAGGGTTAATGCCTAAATCTCAGGCCCTGATCCCTTCAGGTTTTGAAGAAGGCCTGACCGTGGCCACAGTGGTAGAGTCTGCGCTCTGTGCTCTGAGAAACTGTGTGGCCTTCATGCCCCCAGGTAAGCCTGATGTCTGGTATGCACGATGGGTTGCCTGGCCCGAAGCAGCTCCTCACTCCTTCCTCTCCTGTGACAGCGGAACAGAACCCTGCCCCACTGGCACAGCCGGAGCCTCTGGTGTGGGTCAGCAAGTGGGTAGACTACTCTAACAAGTTTGGCTTTGGGTACCAACTATCCAGCCGCCGGGTAGCTGTGCTTTTCAATGATGGCACACACATGGCCCTGTCGGCCAACAGAAAGTAAGTGCTGTTGGGGATCCCTTGCAGCCAGGCTGTCTGCCTATCAGGGCTGCACCTGGATGTATGTTTCCAGATTTAGGGACCTGAGGTTTCTTGGGATAAGGCACTGATGCAGGGCTCCCTTTGATACCCACCCTTGCTTTCCAGGACAGTGCACTACAACCCCACCAGCACAAAGCACTTCTCCTTCTCTGTGGGTGCTGTGCCCCGGGCTCTGCAGCCTCAGCTGGGCATCCTGCGCTATTTCACCTCATACATGGAGCAGCACCTCATGAAGGTGTGTATGCTGGGCTGTGGTGCATCAAGGACTAACAGGGCTGATCCCTCTGACTCTCCTTTGGTGGCTGGATGGGGGGTTATAAAAGCAGAGGTTGAACCTGTAAGGAAGGGAGACATCCAGAGGGAGGGGCCTGGGTCCTTCAGACCAGTAACCTGCCCTGCCCCTGCTTCCAGGGAGGAGATCTGCCCAGTGTAGATGAGGTGGAGGTGCCTGCTCCACCCTTGCTGCTGCAGTGGGTGAAGACTGAGCAGGCCCTTCTCATGCTGTTCAGTGATGGCACAGTCCAGGTAAGAGTGAATTCTGGAGTTGGTGGAGGGAGGTCTGGGAGGCGGAGGCTGCTGGGAAGGAAACTGTCTGGTCTGGAACTGAGGCCCTGATTGATATCACCCTCTTATCCACAGGTGAACTTCTATGGGGACCACACCAAGCTGATCCTCAGTGGCTGGGAGCCCCTCCTTGTGACTTTTGTGGCCCGAAACCGCAGTGCTTGTACTTACCTCGCCTCCCATCTCCGGCAGCTAGGCTGCTCCCCAGACCTGCGACAGCGACTACGCTATGCCCTGCGCCTTCTCCGGGACCGCAGTCCAGCCTAGGCCCCAGCCCTCCGTGTTCTGAGCCCTGAGGTCTAGGCCTGTGCCTGTTAAGGTTCAGTCCTTGCATTTGTGGCTCTCTGTGCCCCTTTGGTGCCTCACTGGGGGCTCTGGGCTGAATCCCCTAAGCAATCAGGGACCAGCTTTACTGGAGTTGGGGGTTGCCTACCCTTGCTGCTCCGTACCCTCTCTCTGAGATTAAGCCTGAGCCTTAGCCCCCAGCTAGGGGGGCATTATTTATGGACCACTTTTATTTATTGACAGACATTTATTTATTGGGATGTGAGCCCCAGGGGGGTTCTCCTCCTGGAAATAATAAACCATTTTGCAGAACTTGGAGACCTCCTTATTCATAGTAGAGCCCATGGACAATGGCCACCACAAAGAGGGAGGTGTTGGTGAAGGACGCAGAGGCCAGTCCGTCACAGGCCTCATCCCAGAGCGCGCGGCTGACCACTTGCACATCCTGGCCGGCACGTGGCCCCAGCACCACACTGCACACCAGCTTGTAGCGTGGTGGGCTGCACTTACGCAGGTGCAGGCGCACCTGTTCGCACAGCTCTCGTGCCAGCTTGCCAGCCTCGGTACCTGAGTAGCATGCATTGTGCAGACCTGCCTCCAAGGCTGCCTCCAGAGCCCGATGAGCACGTGCAGCTTCCCAGCGCTGCCCAGGTGCAGGCTCCATCCTGTATGAGGGTGCCACCTGTGGTGTAGGTGCCAGGGGCAACCCTGAAAAGCTGATCCGAAAAGCTAGAGGGGACCCTGGTCCCACAGATAGCCGCCGACCACCAGCCCCCAGGATGGGCCCAGCTAGAGAGTTGCGGCGTGAGAAGGACCCCGGGAGGCCCAGCACGGATCCTCGGCGGGAGGCTGGGCCCAGGCCTGTGCCTGCTGGCCGGGCCTCATCGATGCTGGGCAGGTGGCTTCCAGGTCGTACAGGTGGTAGTTTGGTTCCCGGCTCTTTGATGGTCTCTTCCTCCTGACGTCCCGGGGCCAGGGCCCTGCCAGCCATGGACCTACAGGCTGAAAAACCCACTCAGGATGACATTCAGTGGTCATCTTTCCATTGGGGGGTTATGCCCTGCCCCATCCCCCCTTTGAGCCCAGGACCTTTGCACTGAGACAGAATCTTGCTCAGTATCTCAGACTGGCTTCAAACTCACCATCTTCTGGGCTCAGTTCTGAGTGATGAGATTTACAGCTACCACAGGCTTTTTTTTTTTTTTTTAGAAAACCTCTCACTCTTACCCAGTCTCCTTTGAATACCTGGGCTATGATGGTTCTTTTGTCTTAGCCTCCTAAGCAACTGGGACCACAAGGACTGGACTACAGGCATATGCTACCCCATGCAGCTGTCCCTATCCCAGGGGGCTCCTTTTAGAGCTTGCAGTGATAAAAACAGCCAGATGCCCTAGGTTCACCACCCCTGCCCTATCCCATCTTACCTGTTTTGGGAATAAGTGGATCAAACTGAGGCTGCCTGGTTTTCTAGGTGCTTAGAGGACTGTTAGAGACAAGCCAGGGAAAGATGCTGCAGTCTGATCCTGAGTTCTACTTTCTCTTGGGCACCAGAGAGTTGGCTAGGTGAGCTCTAAATATCCCTAAATACCTTTCCCTTTCCTCTCTTCCACCTGATTTAACCATAGAAAGGGGAGATGAACCTGACTTCTGGCTCACCCTGGACAGCAGAGGTGGAGTCTCCAGCCCTTAACCAGGAGGAACAGACAGACCTGACTCCTTTACCCCCACAGATCCCTCGAGCCCTGGGGTTGTCTAGGCATTACCACCTCTATCTTCTCTAGGCAGGAAACAAAAGACCCCACAGCAGGCAAAGGCTGGGGACAGGGGCCCATTGAACTCTTTTGGTCTCTGACTTCACCTCCTACACAGTCACTCTTGGCATCACCCCTCTTCTTCTACCCTCTGCTCCTGAAACTCCCTCAGGTGCCTGAGTCACCTGCAGTCTTTAGCCTCCAAGCACATCGGGCTCCACAGGTGTCTCCTAGCTGGCCTGACTGCTGGGGTGGGAGAGAAAGGTTGTGTTGTGCAGTTGCCATGGGCTGCAGGGCAAGCACTTCCCCTCCCAGCCCAGTCTCCAAGTTCGCCTGTGGTAGAACCTGGGAATGTTACGAGAGCAACGGCTGAGGGGGGCAGCCCCTGAGTGATCAGGGAGAGATGGCACACAAAGGTGAGGTACTAAGGGGCATAGGGGCCTTGGGCAGATAAGCAGCTCTTTGGCTGCTTTGTGAAATGGTCGAAGGACTGACTGGCTGTGAGGGAGTCATAGGGGCCTGTGATATGAGGAAATCTTGAAGAGGTGGAGGCAGCTGCTCAGGAATCCAGGATCTGGGTCCACAGGAAGAAGCACGTCACGACTGTCTCCCTGTCAACCTCAATAAGGACAAACATTTCCGCTTCAGGCTCAGAGCAAGGGTGGGGCTTGGATGACTTCCTCAGTTCAAGGATGTGGGGGAAGGGGGGAGGCCAGTGGCTCAGCTGGGAGGACCCAAACCCAACACAGCTACAGCCCACCCGGTAGCAACCCCACAACTGGTCTCTGGACCTTTGCCAACCCAAGTGCCTGGGGGTTGTCCTCAGCTGGCTATACCTCTCTAGTGCCTCAGGCCTAGGCTACCCCTTCCCCACAAGCAGCTGCATCTCAGGGATGCCAGAGGCTTTGAGTTTCAGTCAGAGCTGACACCTCACCTGACTCATATCTGGGAGGGATGGGACTGCTGTCCCTCAAGCTCAGTATAGGCCCTAAAAACCATCTATGAAAGTGAAGTTTTTCCAGTCGATGTGGGGTTCCACATCCTAGCTAACCTGATCTAACTTAGGAGTCTGTGGGGTAAGAAGTAGAAAGCCAGGGAAATTGAACTCTGGACCTGGCCCAGACAGGAGCCAGTGCTAGGACTCTGACTCGGCTTAGGGCCCCTCCAAAGGCTAAAATTTTCCCCTGGGCCTGTGCGGAGGTAGGCGGAGCCTCCTCAGGCCCAGCTCCAGTTACCATGGAAACCTACAGGCTTCCCACCCCCTGGCTGCTTGAGCAGGCTCCTAGCCTGGGCCTCCTGATCTCCCTGTCTGCTCTAGCTCCGGCCTTTCCTAGGTCCCTGACTGTCTCATTCCTGAGGCTGTGGTCTCCTCAGAACTCTTCTGATGTCTTCTAAAGGAACCTGAGCCTCTTTCTTCCTTAAACGGCAGCTTCTCAGCTAACAGGCCTCCCCAGCTTCTGGCCCACTCTCTCAGGCCTCTCTAGTCTCACCACCTCAAGGCCTGGCCAGGAGATACCAGCGTACAGCAGCTTCCTGGGCCCCTCCAGCCCCACCTCCTCTTGCTCTACGTATGGAAACCCCAGGACTGGTCGTGCATGGACTGGCTGAGCCCTTTTCCACAGCGCTCCGAAGCCTTGTCAACAACCCCCAATTCAGGTGAGGGAATGAGCCCTGTATGGAGCACAGATTTTCCCTAGCTGGCTCTGCCAGGCAACAGGACTCTGAGGAGGCCTGGGTGAAGGGGTGAGGAATGAGGGCTTGGCTGTCGTCCCTGGTGAACTCGCTCTGTGGGAAGGCCAAGGGTAGAGAGTGTTACTGTTCACTGTAGCCATGACATTGTGAGAGTCAGAGGTGGTGGGTGGTCAGGGCTGGAGCCTGACACTGTTGTATGAGGTCAGGCCAGGCCCTTCCTTTTTTGGGTCACTTGGGCAGGGAGGGTTCCTTCACAGAGGACAAAAGGGCCCTTAAGTTGCTAGACCCTGGGAGATGAAATTTAACTTGATGCTCTTCTGTGGAACATGCAGCTAGGTGTTAAGACTCCCTGCTTAAAGAGGCAGAGGAACATATGACCCTGTTGTGGGAACTGGGGATTCACAAGAGAAACAAAGCTCCAAGGGATTGCCCAGACAGGAAGTAGCTCAAGGGTGCTACTTATTGCTTGCCTGAGATGCTGATCAGGAGAACCAGAATGCAGCTTCCTGTCCCCACTGCTCAGATCTGGACTCATTTGAAAAGGGCTGGTGACTCTCACAACTCTGCTTCTTTGGGGCAGGAGAAGGAAAGCAGTTGTGCTTGAGTAGTCGGAAACCTTGGCCTTGGATCTGGAACAAGGAGATGTCAACAATGTCAGCTTTTTTTTTTTTTTTTTCTGTCTCTTACTCTTAACCTTGTTCAGAGGCCCAGAGGCTTAGGCCGGAAGTGATCACGAAGATGGAAAATGTGGTCGGGCCTCATTATGGTGCATCACTACTATGTATGCTTGCAGTCAATGCACTCCCTGCACCCCACACCCCCACACCTCAAGAGGGCTGAAAAAAGCTGAGTTGGCAGGTAGTGGAGGAGGCACCAAGAAGAACTTTCTTTCCCTTGTCTCAAGGCAGAGGACAGGAGATCAGTCTTACTTATGCAGTCCTTAGTGACTGAACACAGCTGGCTCTTTGGAGACCTGAAGTTGAGTGAGAAACCTGAGATTTAAAGATAGAAAGTTGGGGGCTGGGGAGATGGGTCAGTAGAATAAGCGCTTCCCTGGCAAGCACAAGGGCCTGAGTTCAATCCCCAGTTCTGCCAAAATAATAATAATAATAATAATAATAATAATAATAAAATAAAGATAGAAAGTCATTTGCCTGTTGTACCATAGGGTAGAGCTGGAACTAACCTTAGAGCTGTGTATCCCAGATGACTTCCTGCTGGAAGGCTAAGCCCCATCTCTTACATTACAGATAAGGAAACTAAGGCCCACAGTGTGGGCCAAGGCAAAGCTCAAGCTGTACCCTGGACTCTTCTCCCCTGGCCCTGCCATTCTCTCCTACAGTGATGTTCGCTTTGTGGTTGGTCAAGAACGGCAGGAAGTATTTGCCCACCAGTGCTTGCTGGCCTGTAGATGCAACTTCTTCCAGCGACTTCTGGGCACGGAGCCAGGCTCCTCTGGGGTACCTAGACCTGTGGTGCTGAGCACAGTGCCAGCAGAAGCCTTCTTGGCCGTGCTGGAGTTCCTGTACACCAATAGTGTCAAGCTGCACCGCCACTCTGTAAGCACCCGGAGCAGGGACTTGAGTGGGAGAGGCTGGGTGCTCTACCTGCTACACTGTGGGCCCGAGGGAAACTCCCTTCTGCTTCCCCAACTGCCCACTCTGCAGGTGCTGGAGGTGCTGACAGCAGCTGTGGAATATGGACTGGAGGAACTGCGAGAGGTGGGTTTTTACACCAGGGCTTGTTTCTTTTGTCTCTCCTACACAAACTGCTTCATACACATCATGATCTGGAGAGAACATATCACACAGATGGAAGCATGGGTATTTCCCCATGTGTGCAGGGCATGTTCATGTGTCTGTGGGTAATGGACGTTTACATCCTGTGTGTGTTGGACAGGCACAAGGACAAATCACCCTTGGTCCCTGGTGGCAGAGTGTGATAGATGAGGGTGAACCATGCCGAGGCCATGGGGGGGGGGATTTCCTGGAGGAGGAAACATTTGTGTAGGATTTGGCAGAAGGAAGACTCTGTCAGAGAGGAATGGGAAGATGTTATTGTAGTCAGTCACCAAAGGAGCTAGTGAGACATTTGTGAGGCTGGAGTATAAGTGAGAGAGAAGAGGGGGTAAGGCAAGGGGGTGGGGGGCAGGGCCTGGTTTATGTAGGGTCTTCACGAATCTGGACTTTGGAACACCTGTGATCCTAGCATTTAGGAGGCTGAGGCAAGAGGATCATGGGTTTGAGGCCAGCCCGGGGTGCATAGTGAGTTCAAGACCAGTCTGAATTACAGAGGCAGACTGTCTCCTACCCCAAATCTAGACTTTAAGCTGTACTGGGCAGCTCCTCACTACAAGTCTGCTCAGGGTTTTTGCAGTGCAACTCAGGACACCTCTACGTAGCTCACACCCATTTCTGTTTCCAGCTGTGCCTGGAGTTTGTGGAGAAGGTACTCGATGTGGAACTAGCTTGTGAGGCTCTGCAGGTGAGTGCTGCTGGACAGGCCTGGGAGGAGTCTGGCTTTCAGTATGTAGTTCAGGGCTCCAGGTGTCAGAAGCTTGGAATATACTATGTCTGGCCTAAGGAGGCATGGAATTCAAGGCCAGCCTGAGTTGCACAGCAATATCATTCTGAAAACAAAAAAATAAAATGTTAAAAAACCCTAAGAACACCTAAACAAACCAAAACTAGAACAATTTGGAAACTTAAGAAGCAGGAGTGCTCCAAGGATGTCTATGGGATAAATCTGGGGTCTAGGTATGTGGGAAGAAGGGTACATTAGAGTAAGGTGCAGGAGCAAGACCTGAAGGTTGAAGGTCTTTGCTGGTCTTCAATCAAGGGTGGGGCAGGGGAAGAATAGGGCATGGGACTGAAAAGCCAAACCTAGGCCCTGGGGAGGTTTGGAGACAACACTTGGTCTCTTTAGTGTCTGCTTGCATGTGTTAGGGGGGACTTTCTGTGAGTTTAGTTTCCGGGGAGGCTGTAGGCTTCAGTCATTGTCCTCAGTTAGGGCTAAGGTCTGGCTTGCAGTGATGATCACATGTGCAGGGCTCAGGTCTCTCTCGTCTCCAACTTCATTCTGCTCCCAGGTGGCTGTAACCTTTGGCCTAGGGCCGCTACAGGAGCGGTGTATAGCCTTCATAGAAGCCCACAGCCAGGTACCACTATCCATCTACATACTCCTCACCCTACCAAACCCATCTTGCTTTCCCCTGACCCGCTCCGCCGACCCGCAGGAGGCGCTCCGGACCCGCGGCTTCCTGGAGTTGTCGGCCGCTGCGCTGCTGCCTCTGCTGCAGAGCGATAAGCTCTGTGTGGATGAGGCTGAGCTGGTCCGGGCTGCCCGGAGCTGGGCGCGCGTGGGAGCGGTGAGTGGGGACAGGAGGAGCGCGAGCGCCGGCCGCGGGAACACGGTGAGCCGGCAGCGGGGCGGGGGCTCTGAGCTCAGGGCTGGCGTTCGCAGGCTGTGCTGGAGCGGCCCATGGCCGAGGTGGCGGCCCCGGTGGTTCGAGAGCTGAGATTGGCCCTGCTGGCCCCAGCGGAACTGAGCGCCCTAGAGGAGCAGAACCGGTGGGAGCCGCTCATTCCGGTGAGGACGCGGAAACCAGGCTCACTAGCTGGCAGCTTGGCGGAGGGGAGCTGGAGGGCGGGAATGGTTCGGCTCAGGGTCTTCGGGAAAAGGGGCGCTGCAATACTGAAGTGACCCTCTTTCTCTTCTAGGTGGAGCAGATCGTGGAGGCGTGGAGATGCCACGCCCTGCGTAGAGTGACTCCAGCCCAGGGCGCACCGTACCGCCGCCGGAGTGGGACCCTGCCGCGAGAGCACCACCGCTTTCTGGGCCTGCCCTTCAAATGACGTCGGGCCGCGAATGGCATGGAATTCGGGACTGTCCACACTACAGCTCCCGGCATGCTCTGCGCTTGGAGCTGACTTCCGCTTCCGACATGCTTGGCGAGCCCTGCACCGGAAGAGCCTGGTGGCTGGTCGGGGGCTGGAGGGTGGGCCTTGTGGCGGGGGCTAGACCCGAAAGCGAGGCTTTTCTCGCCCCACGTCCTCTCACTCGATCTGCTCTCCTGACTCCCACAATTCTGTTAAGTTCAGGTCCCCTGTGGACCTGCTTCTTAGAGCTGTCTCCCGAGTGTACCTCAGATGACGCAGCGCGATGCTAAATCGACTTCCCCATCTTTCTGAAGCTCTGCTCCTATCAGGTCTGTCATTTGCGTGGGTACCCACGTCGCCTCTGCCTTCTGCGAGACCTTCCCACTTGGTAACCTTCACTTCCACCCGTCCTGCCCAGTCCTGTCTGACTGGTGTCTTCCTTCCTTCACTGCAGCGCCCCCTCCAGTTATTTTTCATTTTGCAGCCAGCGCAGCCCTTATCTCAGCCTTCCTCCCTAAATCCTTCATCATTCCTTTGCCTCTAAGACAAAGAGGCCCCATCGCTTTGGGGCACTCCAAATTACTGTTGTTCCTAAAACATTTAGCAACTCTTTTCTCAACCTTGCCTTTGTGTGCATTCATTTCTTTGAGACACAACTAGTCCTTCTGGTTCCAGATTTGCTTGTTATTGAAGGGGAAAAAAATTAAAAAAAAATTTTTTTTTTTTTCAGACAAGGTCTCAATACATAGCCCACGTTGTCCTTGCACACACAGTGCTCCACTTGCCTCAGCTTCTCAAATGCTAGGATTACAGGTGTGCACCACCACTCCAGGTATGAAGACTTCTGTTACCCCCCTCTAACACATCATCGAACATCTTGCCTTCCCTTTGAACTTGAATCACTAGGTGAAAGATCCCTGGGACCTGGAGTAGTGTTTTATTTCATTTCTCAATCCCTTTCACATAATATTTTGTTTATTTTTATTTTTTTGAGACAGAGTCTTACCATATGGTTTTTTGTTTGTTTGTTTTTGTTTTTTGCGGAACCGGGGCTTGAACTCAGGCCCTTGCACTTACCAGGGAACTGCTTACTCTACTGCGCCATTTCCCTGGCCCTATATGGTTTAGACTGACCTTGTACTCATTATGTGTAATCCAAGTTGGCCTCAAAATGGTGATCCTAGAAGCTGGGGAGATGGCTCAGTAGAATAGGCGCTTCCCTGGCAAGTGCAAGGGCCTGAGTTCAGTCCCTGGTTACGCCAAAAAACAAAACAAAACCAAACCCAACAAAACAAAACAAAAAACATAAAAAAGCTTTTATTTTTAACTCTTGGCTAGTGGTTATCCTTATGTTCAGATTATGGTTTTTTTTTTTTTTGCGGAACCGGGGATTGAACTCAGTCCCCTGCATTTGCCAGGCAAGTACTTATTCTATTGAGCTATCTCCCTGGCCCCCTTTATGTTCAGATTATTAAAAACTCATCTAAAAATATGCAGAACAAAATGAAATAGATGTCTCATGTATCCCCCCCCCCTTTTTTTTTTTTAAAGACAGGGTCTCACTATGCAGTTCAGGCTTGTCTTGAACTCATTTTGCAGGCTGGTCCCAAACTTGTGGTGATCCTCCTGCCTCAGCCTCCTGAATATTGGGATTATAGTTGTGTACCATCATGCCCAGCCTAGATGTCTCCTTATACACAAAATGGGTAAAAATTTGGTTTCTTTATTGATAATAAGTGATTTGGCACTAAAAACAGAATAAATAGGGGCCGGGGAGATGACTCAGTAGAATAAGTGCTTCCTTAGCAAGTGCAAGGGCCTGAGTTCAACCTCCAGTTCCGGAAACAAAACGAAACAGAACAAATAGTTCCAGTTGATTTTAGTTACACAGAATAAAGTTTTATTTTAATTTTAATTTTATTTTTTGTTTTTTTGGTGGAACCAGGGATTGAACTCAGGCTCTTGCGCTTGCCAGGGAAGCGCTTATTCCACTAAGCCATCTCCCCAGCCCTTATTTTTATTTTTTCCGACTAAATTTTTCTTCTTGCTCTCCAGGGTTCCTGAAACATCACCTTCCATGCTAGGTGGAAGGTGATCACCTTCCCACAGCCTTGAATGTCACTCTCACAGAAAACCACTTGAGGACCAGGGAGATGGCTCAGTGGAATAAGCGCTTGCAAGGGCCTGAGTTCAATCCCTGGTTTTGGAAAAAAAAAAAAAATCACTTGAACTTAACTAGACAGTGTACTGGTTAAAAAAAATATGACCATGGGGTGGCAAGATAGCTCAGCAGACTAAGCCCAAAGACCAGCCTTTGATGCCCAGCACCACATGCCATGCCAGCCCTGCCCCTGGGCACACTGAGCCTGTCACTGAGACTGCTATGGTGGCGCATGCCTGTAATCCCAGCTCTGGAGACGTTGGAAACAGGAAGCTCACTCTGAGTCCAAGCTATGTAGTGAGACTCTGTACCAAATACATTAAAAAAGAAAAAATTGGGGCCGGGGAGATGGCTCAGTGGAATAAGCACTTGCCTGGCAAGTGTAAGGGCTTGAGTTCAATCTCTGGTTCCACCAAAAAAAAAAAAAGAAAGAAAAAATTATGACCACAAGCATTGTCCTGTTTGTTAGGCACCTAATTATGTTTATTTTTTTAAATTAATTATTTATTTATTTTTACATTTATTGTGTGTGTGTGTGTGTGTGTGTGTGTGTGTGGCCAGCTCAGCCCACCAGGGGGTGGGGCTGGCTGGCATGTGGTGCTGGGGGATTGAACCACGGTCCACTGTGCTTTGCTAAGCTTGTTCTAAGTAGGTGGTTTAGACCACTGAGCCATCTCTCCAGCCCCCACCTAATTATGTTTAAAAAGTTGAGAAGCAACACAAAACAAGATGGTGGCCCTATAGCTCTTGCTATAGAATAGCTGCCAGTCTGACATGAGTGAAAAGAATGACAGGAATTAAAGGGTTAGTTTATGTTTAAAGGAGCTTTCTAGAAGGAGTGGGCCAAGAAATCCATCTGCCTCCTTGGCAACTCAAAGAGGCAAGGCCAAGAATCTTGTGGATGTTTTGTCAAATTGACATAGCTCAGATAAAACAGATAAGATGAAGGAATATCATGGTGTTACCTCCCAGCAGATTTCCATGAGAGTGCTTTCCTGTAGGAAAGAGGGTGAAAGCATTGCCATTACTCCATCATCAAATATGGAGTTAACATCTTATGAGGATCACCTAGATCCTGTGACCACCGAATCTTTTACTTTTTGATTTTTTTAAATCACAGGATGAGGCCTGGGGAGATGGCTTGGTGGTCTAAACACCTGCTTGACAAGTGCAAGGACCTAGGTTCACTCCCCAGTACCACATGCTGTGCCAGCATCAGAACCCTGGGCATGCTGTGCTGGCCCTGAAACCAGGTGTGGTGGTGCACCCCTGTAATTCCAATATTGAGGAGGTTGAGACAGGAGGATCGCTACAAGTCCAAGCTGCGTAGTGAGACCCTGTCCCAAGCAAGTAAAAGATTACTAAATCACAGGATGACCCAGGCATGGTGGCATATACCTGGAAACAGACAGGATCACTGCAAGGTCAAGGCCAGCCTGGGCCAAGGCTACCCAGGAGTGATAGTGCACACCTGCAATCCCAGCACTCAGAAGGCAGAGCCAGGAATACTTGCTGAGATTTTGAGGCCAGCTGGACTATGGTTGAGTTCAAGGCCAGCCTACATAGCGCCTTTTGGCTCTACCTTGAAGCCATACAAATAGGGCACAGCCTGCAGCTCAGAGAGCCTCTGGGACCCTGCTGAGGGGCTGTTCATGTACAACTGGCCCTGTGTACCCTTGGGGTCTAGAAAGGGCCTTGTATACTGCCTGAGCCCTCTGCATCCTGCCCTCCACTAAAAAAACAACAAAACCGAACAAAATTGGGCTGTAGAGCCAGAATACTTGGAAGTTCACACCTTTGCTGCCATTGTGACTTGTCTGAGACTATTCCATCATTTTATTCCTGTTAAGCAAGTGTTGTACTCACCACAGTTTCATTATTTATAAAGTAGAGAGAGAAACAGAGCACGTATTTAGGTTGGTGTCCCAGTAATCTGGGAGGCTGAGCCAGGGAAATCACAAACGTTATGGTTTGTGTATAGTTCAACTCCCAAAGCCTCATAGGGCAGTTTCTGCTCCCCCGCTAACATTAGTAGTTCTGTTAGTGAAGTTTAGCACCATGGAGTAAGTACACTAAACAACAAAGCCAGATACCTTCACAAAGTTAAAATGCTAGAGGTTATACAGTAGGCAGATCTCAACGTGAAATGTAATACAAATCGTTATGCATACACCAAAAGGACAAAACCTCACCTTAAGACAAAATAAATCGCAGAAAAACTACACATGAAAGCCAGCAAGATAGATAAAACTTTCAATACAAACCCGTGAAGACGCGATTGCAAAAATCAAGAATAAAATCACAACCACCTAAACAGTACAAACTGCACAAGCAGTTGTAACTCTTCAAGACAAGATATGCTTTGCTTTTTTTGTAACGAATATCAGTCTCGTATAAAACGAGACCTCAAAAAATTGAGTAACACTCAGAGTTGTTCCTCTCCACGGAAATCTTTAGTAAAAGGCGAAAGATTTATACGATCTGAAGAGAAACCAGAGTATAGAGTTAAGGATACACTGTTAACATCAAGAGAAAGGGTACCCTTATCTCGGTTATGGTTATTCAGCGCCTGGCTGCACACTCTACGTGGTTACACTTTATGTGAGCGTGCGTCTCCCACCTGAACCCCAGATTATGGAACAACACCCGCAGGGAAGATGCCAGACAGGCGAGCAATCTCGCGGTGCACCACGGGTATGCAAATTAGGGCGGCCCACCTTGCATTGCAGAACCCGGCTGCTGGGTGTCGCCCTCTCCAGGTCCTGAGCCCTGGACGCCTGAGGTGTGGGAGCGTCCGGCGGGACCTGTGCACAGCGTCTCTTTTCACGCGATCTGGGAGTGGTAAATTAACCGTCCCGAGTGGTGAGGAGTCGCGCGTTCTTTCCTTGTCAGTGTAGGGGGAGGCAGACGCTAAAACCAGCAGGCACAGTGCTCAGGGGCTGTGGGACCGCACAGGAGGGCAGCGCCCGCCCCTCCTGGGGAAGACAGCTCGCAAGCCAGTTGGAAACACCACCCCCCTAGCTTAATTTTTAAAAAATAGTACGTGTTTGCAGTCATAATGATTGTATTTCTTGTGGGGAGTTGCTGCATACATATGGATCTTAATTCTTTTTTCATCCCTTCTCCTTCTCTCCCTGCCCACATCTCTTGATCTTCTTCCCACTTGAGAAAGATTTGTCTCCCTGCTGTGTTACCTACCTCTTTATTTTTATTTTATTTTATTTTATTTTTTTATTTGTTTTTTTTGCGGAACCAGGGATTGAACTCAGGCCTTTGCTCTTGCCAGGCAAGTGCTTATTCTACTGAGCTATTTCCCCGGCCCACTTATCTCTTATTTTGCTATTTAATTGCATTTTGGGTTACTCATATAAGAGAAACCATGCGATATTTAAGCATGGGTCATTTTCCTCCAAATGTTTCAAGTTTATCCTTTATGGCAGAGTAACACACCATTGTGTGTAAA